ACGGCGAGCCCGAACACGACAACGGGACTTGCATTCTAACGCCACAGGAGAGGTGGTCTTCTTCGAGGCATCCAGAACGCAGCGACGTGTAGCCCGAACATGACAACGGGACTTGCGATCTAACGCCAAGGCCCAGCTGTGGCGAAATGAGGCATCCAGCACTCGGCGACAGTGAGCCCGAACACGACAACGGGACTTGCGATCTAACGCCGAAGGGAGGCGACGAGGCTGAGGAACACCCAGTCGGCAACGTCACTGGCGAAGACGGCGTCACACATGAGCAGCGCGAAATCGGAGACGGCGACGAAAATGACGAACAGGTGGGCGCCATACGCGGAGCTCTCAAGGACATAGATGGTGATGGGGCCGCCCTCCGTGACGGTGGGGGGCGCGCCAGCGTCGGGGGCGCAGAGGTAGGCGGGAAGGGAGTCGCCGAAGTCGAAGGACAGGGAGTGCCAGCTGTGCCCACATCCGCGCCCACGTGGCTCCCAGACGCTGTTTCGAGCACATCAGCAGCAAAACGGTGTGGCGACATGGTGCGCCCGCTCCCCAAAGGAGACGGACGATTGGGGTCCTGACCACCATCGCAGGCATCGGAGTCCGACGGGATCGTGGCAATGGCTGTGGAGACGGTGTCCGAGTCGCTGTCCGAGGAAGATACCGCCGGCGTAAGTCGGGGTGGCGACACCGAAGAGGAAGACGAGGAAGAGCTGCGAATGAAGTAGTCCCGTCGGCCAAGTTGCTCGCGGTCGATCTCCGAGCACTTCAGCGGCGACGCGAGCTGCATCGCACGAACACCAGCGAGAGCACAGCTACGCAGCAGGCTCGGGGGCAGCGGCCACACGGGCGCCAGCCTCGCTTCGTTGTACATGTTGTACGCAGCAGCCATCGCAGAGTAGGTGGCCAGCGAAGGTGCAGATAAACCCCATCTGTCCATCCACGGCAACGGAATCGGTCTCGCTAGTGCTTGCCGAAGGGCACGGTGCATGACAGGGCACCTCGCGTAGTGCCTCAGCGAGTCGAGCTTGCCCAAACATCCGAATACGCAGTGCTTCTGGCCGTCGGGTGAGATGATTCGGGCCGAGGTCATCCAACCATCAGACCACGTGCGCAGGACGGCCATAGCCCATGAGCATGGGCAGCGGGCGAGGACGCTCTTGCACTCGTCCCAGTTGATGTTCGAAAGGAGGCCCGCAGATCTGCCAGCGAACTTCCTCAGGCGGGCCGAGAAGAGGTCGGTGATGGGCCTGCTCAGCATCGCGTAGGCCCGCAGCGCATCGTGAGCAGCTCTCTGAGGGCGAGGTCGAGGACGGTCGTCCGCTCGAAGTTCAGCCAGCGCAGCGTCAGCAGCACGTGCGCCAAAGGCGGCCAACGGGCCAGGCGGAGGGGTGCCAGCTGCGGCCAGAGCCAGATTCTCCACGAAGGCGGGGGCCAACCAGAAGGACGGGTACGGCTTGCCAGTCGCCAGCATGGACAAGGTGGCGTCGGTCGGGGCGGAGCGCACGTGGTTCCGCATCTGTTGGAGGAGCACGTCCCAGCTCGGGAAAGTGTGCACAGCAGCACGCGTGATGGTGGCGACGGCCAGGTGCCCCCACCGCGTGCAGCGCGGGCCGCCCCACTGCGCGATCTGCGTCCAGAAGTCGAGAGCGAAGGTGCCGAGCGGGATGCGGAACACCTGTGCGAGCGTCGCCAGCTCAGGCTGTAGCACTGCTGTCGGCGGCCAGCAAAATTGGGCCACGTAGGATATGGTCGTAACGGCACGTGTATTGTATAGTGTAGCGGAAAGGCTGGCGGGAGTGGTTCCCCGTCCAATGGCTTGGGCCCTCAGACGCAATTTGGCGACGGGATCGATCCAGCAAGTAGACGGCACGACAGCGGGACCTAGCCAGAGGCCCCGGTAGAGCAACTTCGGAGCCACCTCGAACGAGCTCCACTCGGGGACCACACGGGAGACCCAGTAGGAGACTGTGGCCGAGAGCTCGGGCGAGAACCTGTCAGACAACGGGACAATCTTGCATTTCGAGACCTTCAGGGCGAGGTTGGCCAGGTCCGAGGCCATCTGCATAACACGATACACATGTACTAGGTGCCGTATGGCCAATAAAGTGCCCCCAATGTCATCAGCACAGGCCCGAACCAGGCCAAGACCAGCGGCCTCAACACGGGAAGCCAGGTTAATCAAGAAGACAGCCGTACCTAACGCATCCAGAGTGCCCGATAAGGCACAACCCTGGATGATGCCGCTCTGGATCCAGAAGATATGAACTAGCGTGCCTAGGTGCGAGACGACCCCTTCCACCGACGCATAGAGGAACGTGACGAAGGACACGAAGGCATCAGGCAGCTTGAGGGCCCTAAGGGAGAGGATGAGGAAGTCCTGATTCAGAGACGGGAAGGCTTGGCCGAAGTCCAGGGAGTACAATAAAAGGTATATCAACAGAACCGTGAGGGACGACCGACATCTGGCGACTCGAAACGTCGAGCTCGAGGATGTTGTTGC